GTGTGTCTTAGTTTATTGCTGAAGTGTGTTGAAATTTCTTCTTCTGCATTCTACTGTACGGACGTAAATTTACTTTCCCTTCAGCCTGAGGCTTATTCATTTCACTTTTGGTGTGAAAAGGCTTTTATATTTGCCAAAAATATAAAAACAAACAAGCAAGCCCTGTCCAGATTTAACGTCAAAAGTAACGCAAAAGTAACGTAACACATTACTTTCCATAAAAAGTAACTAAGTAACGTAATTAGTTACTTTTTTATGGAGTAACGCAATATTGTAATGCATTACTTTTAAACGTAACTTTCCCCAACACTGCGTTTGTGTACCTAAGACTGTTTTTATCTTGACAGTGCCTTGAAAATGCAACGCTCATGGCGCAAGACTCTTAAAAAACAAGGAGACGTGACACACACTGCACGTGTACTTCTGAAATCAGCTGTGGAAGTGGTGGTATTCAACGCTTTTGCAATTATTCCAACATTAACAGATTAGTCAAGGTCTGTACAGCCTCTTTCAATTGGACAGAAATGTTACTCTGAGCAACGTAACTAGATCCTTTTTTCTGATGCACGCAAAAACTGAACGTAACCCATAACAAAGAGCTAGTGAGTCTTTTTGCTCATAGAATTAAAACTGCAGGATTTGAAGTCAGTCTGCACATGATATCTGCATGGAGAACAGCCCGGTCCTGTCCAGCGTCCCTCTACACTCTTAAAAATAAAGGTTCTTTAAGGGGGATTTCACAGCAATGCACTTAAAGAACCTTTAGTGCAATGGAAAAATTGCATGGATGTTAAAAGTTTTCATGGAACCATGGACGCCAATAAAGAACCTTTATTTTAAAGAGTGGACTGTCAGTGCAGGCTCCTAGGAACTGCACTACATGCAGACATAACACACACAATGAAAAACGACGGATCAGCACAGGATTACAGACACCAGGAGAATAAATAGGAAACCAACTGAGGAGGCTAGCGAGGGAGACACAGGTAGAGCAACTTAAACAATAACAAGGTAACAAGATGGTCGGGGCAAGACAATAGACAGGAGAGAGCACATGGCACCAAACAAACACAACACAAGCCAT